CTCCATGAAACGGACGGGGTGGGTGTCCAGGAAGCTGTGAGGCTCAGCCGCCAGGGGCCCCTCCCCGCAGACACGACAAAGAAAGTGCACGATAGTGACTGAGTCAGGGGTGTGCAGAGCGATGCGTGTGGAAGTTCGGGGGTTAAACAGACTTGGTGTTTTGCAGCAATTTTCAGTTCACAGCAAGAGATTTCCTGTATACCTCGTACCCGTGCCCCAACACCACCTCCCACCATCCACATCCCCACCAGTGTTCCACTCAGTAAACTGCACTGACACGTCCTCATCACCCCAAATCCATAGTTTACATTAGGGTTCACTCTCAGTGTTGTACAGTGAGTTTGGACAAGAGTATAATGACAGGTAGCCACATTATAGCATCACACAGAGTGGTGACTCTGCCCTAAAAATCCCGTTCTCCCCTGTTCATCCCTCCCCGCCAACCCCTGACACCCACTGAGCTTTTACTGTCCCATACTTTTGTCTTTTCCAGAAGGTCATAGAGTTGGAGTCACAGGTATGTGTGTAGCTTTTCAGATTGGCTTCTTTCACTTAGCAATATGCATTCGTATAGCTTTCAAATGTGATTTCAACAGTTGTACATTTTTGAGTGGCTGGAAAATAGGCAGACGTCAGTCTCTCTGGCCCATGTGCAGCTTGTGGGAGGTGCCACTCTGCCCTGTGGGGCCTCCTAATTGCCACCCCAAGAAATCCATCTTCGGGTAAGAGAATCGGCCATTGCTTTATCCTGGTCGCAAACGTTTCCGAACCGGATAAATCTGTGGTTTTCTCTCCACATGTCCTAGTTGTTGGTGCCCGCAAGAGCTGGGTACTCACACCACAGCTCCTTGTCTTTGGCTGCGAGAATCGAGACAGTGTCCAATGGGTTTAGGCTATGTCGAATTTAACACATAACACCCTGGGATCTGTGCTGGGGGGATTATCTGGTGAAAATGGATTTTGAGCGATGAAAACTGCAAGAGCACAACACCTGTCACTTTGCATCTTCAAGGCCTGCAGTGAAGGGCACGGAAAGGTGGCACTTTAACTGCTAATTATGAGGAGAGGGGAGGAAGTGTCCCAGGATGCCTTACTCGGAGCAGCAGGAGGCCATGGCTTCCTACTGAGACCCTGTGTGAAGACTGAACCCAACCCGGTGAACACAGGGCCTCCACTTATCTGCAGAGTGGCCTCATCGCAGAAGCTAAGCCCTTGTCTTTCTCAGAAGGGGTAGGATTACATAACCCTTGATAATTAAGACCTTTCAGCCACAACGCTCCTTTATTGGAAACACTGTCAAGAAGGATTTACTGGCTGTAGGTCTTTTTCTCACTTCAGGGAATTTTTAACTCCATTGTCCACAAATTTGTGAGTCATTTCTGATGATAATAATCAGGAAAAAAAAAGAAGAGAGCTGAGAAGAATTGGCGATGTTTTGACAGAAGCCCAGGATGGGTGAGAGAAAGGAACCTAAGGCTTCATTCAGATCCTCTGTCCTGTGACCTTGGGGACAGAGGCTCGTGAGCTTTGCTGGGAGGACGGTGTGGCTGGGTGATTCTTAACCTCATGGTTCTGTGCCATCCCAGGTCATGAGAAGGGAGTTTGTTTTGTCCATGGTGTGAGCTATGGATCCAGATTTTTTTTTTTTTTTTTGCATATAGGTGTCTATTTTTTCTAGCACCATTTGTTTTTTCTGTAGGATTGTCTTTGTGCTTCAGTTGATACACATGTGAGTAGTTTCTGGGCTCTCTTTCGTTGATCACTGTGTCCATCCTTTCTCCAGCAGCACTCTGTTTTCATTACTGTCGATTTAGCATTAGCATTGATACCATGTAGTGAAGATTGTCCAATTTTGTTCTGTTTTCAAAATTGTTTTGGCTGTTCTAATTCCTTTGTTTGCCCCTATACATTTTAAAGTCGACTTTTCAATTTCTAAAAGTCCTAGCTGCATTGTCGATTGGGATTGCATTCAATGCATAGATCAGTTTGGGGAGAGCTGACTTCCAATCCATTAGTAAGATATGACTGCATTGACTCTGAGCAGTGTTTTGTAGCTTTTAACATACAGATCTTGCATGTAGTTAGTTAAATTTATATCTAGCTCATGTTTTAATTGCTACTTTAAATGGTATTGACTTTTTTAATTGCAATTTGCGACTGTTCATTGCTCATATTGAGAAATATAATTAACTTTCGTATTGTTGAGACTGCATCCTGTGATCTTGCTAACTTCAGTTCTAGGAACTCTTATTTTGACTCAAGAGTTTTCTTCATGGACAATCATATTGTCTGTGAATAGAAAGAAGTGGTTCCTTTTTTCCCCTTTTCAATCTTTATGCCTTTGGTTTCTTTCCCTTGCATTACTGCACCGGCTTGCACTTTCAGAATAGGAACGGCCAGAAAGATGTCTTTGCTTTGTTCCTGATCTTTGGGAGGAAGCACTCAGTTTGTCATTGTAAATAAGATGTTTTAAAGATGCACTTCATCAAGTTTATTTGAATTTCTACTTTACTGAGAGGTTTTTGTTGTTTTTTAATCACTATTGGATATTGAACTTTGACAAATGCTTTTTCTAAATCTATTAAGATGATCATATTTTTTTCTTTATTCTGTTGATATGGTGAATTGTCCTGATTGATATTTGGATGTTGAAACTGCCTTGCATGTATAAGATAAATGCTACTTGATCAGGATAAGTTATAATTTTTATATATTGCTGAATTTGATTTTCTAATATTTTATTGAGGATGTTCATGAGGGATATGGGTCTGTAGTTTTCTTTTAGTATCTTTTTTAATTTTGTTGTCAGGGTAATGCTTTAGGATTGCTTTTATTTCTTCAAATGCTTGGTAGAACTCATCAGCAAGCCTATTTGCTGAGAATTTTCTTTGTTGAAAGGTTTTAGTCATGTATTCAGTTATTTAATAGTTATAGGACTACTTAGGTTATCTATTTCTTCTTAAGTAGATTTTGGAAGTGTGTTTCTTTTTAAGGAATTTATCCATTTGGTCTGAATTATTGAATTAATGAGCATAAAGATGTTCAAAGTGTTCTCTATTCAATTAATATAAGTAGGATTTATAGAGGTGTCCCGTGATATTATTGGTGGTATTGGTGATTTGTGATTTCTCATTTATTCTTGATAAGTCTGGTGACAGGGTTATTGATCTTTTAAAAGAACCAGGTTTTGGTTTCATTGATTTTCTCTATTATTTTTCTGTTTTCATGTCATTGATTTCTTTTTCTTCACTATTTTCTTCCATCTATCTGCTTGTTTTTGGTTTAATTAACTTTATAGATTCTTAAGGTAGGAGCTTAGATTCTAATATAAATATCTAAATGCTATAAATTTCCCACTAAGACTTATGCATCCCATAAATTTTGATATGTTATGTTTTCCATTTCATTAAATTGAAAATGCTTTCTCATTTTCCATGTGACTTCCTCTTTGACTTGAGTTTATTTTGAAGTGTATTGCTTAATTTCCAAATATTTAGGAATTTTCCACAATCTTTCTGTTGTTAATTTCAAGTTTAATTCTGTTGGGGTCATATAGCATACATTTTGTGATTTTAATTATTTTAAACTTGCATAGGTTTGTTTTTTGGCTCCAACTATGTCCATCTTGGTTAAGTTCCATGTGCACATGGTAAGTATGTGTAGTTGGCTGTTGATGGGTAGATTTAAAACTAAGTATCACGTAGGTCAAGGTGCTTGATGGTGCTTCTCAGGTCTTGTATATCCTTTCTGATTTTCTTTGTCCCCTCGTTTTCTTTTTTGAGAAAGGAGTATTGAAGTCTCCAACTATAATAGTAAATTCTTTTATCTTTTTCCTTTTAGTTTTATCACTTTTGCCTCTTGTATTTTGAAGTTCTGTTGCATGCTCGTTTATGATTGTTAAGTCTTCTTCTTCTTCTTCTTTATATTTGAGCCCCTGGCAACATCAGCCAGGGGAGCAAGGCCTCACATGCTCTGCTCGGATTACGTCTTCTTGGTGGATTGACCACTTCATCATTATACCACGTCCCTCTTTATCATCGGTTTTATTCCTTCATAGGGTATCTATGGTGTCTGATATTAATATAACCACTCCAGATTTATTTTCATTAGTGTTTCTATTCTTTTACTTTTAAGCTATTTGTCTTCATATGTGTGATTCTATTAGACACCAAGTCTTGCTTTTCATCCAACTGATAATCTATCTTTTATTGGGAGGTACAAACTGTTTATATTTTAATATAACTGTTGATATGATGGCATTAAAATCTGTCCTCTTGCTAATTATTTTCTGTGTGTCCCCTCCTATTTTCTTCCTTTTATATTGTTTTTGCTTGCCTGCTTTTGTATTAATTAGATATTTTTATATTTACATTATGTTTTACACTTTTGCCTTATTTATATCTCTTTTTCAAACTTGTTTAGTGATTGCCCTGGAGTTTAAAATATACATCATTAATTAATTACAATTTCTCTTGAAATATACTGCATGTATAATGTGAGAATGTTTTTAAAATGGTGACCCCTGTGACACACAGAAATTTAGCCTGCAAATGAATAAACAACAATACAGATGGGAGGGGGATTATTTTTTTCCACATAAAGGATAATTGGGCTTGAACAATAGTGGCGTGTGATGAGGGAAGTGTATTTCCACATAAAAGCTCATCTGATCTCAAATATTGGGTGATTGAAAAAGCATTCAGAGAAGGCTTTTGTTTACTCTCCATCCTGAGATCCTAGAAAGGCTCACCCATGGAATGAGATGATCCAATCCACTTTTCTGCCTATGTCTTAAAGAATTTGGCAACAAAAAGAGAGATAGCCCAGTCCTTTTTCTTTGTAACGCCACTATTAGCTTCCACAACATCCGTCACCCATCCTTGTCCTCAGTGCCGTAATTGCCCATGAATCATGAACAGCAGCTAAGTCTCTTTTTCCTCTCTTCCCCCTCCCATGCCTCTGCCGTTTGCTTGGCTGTCTTCCACGACCGCCCCGGACAGTGCCGACAGCACCCCCACAGAATGTGCGGACGGAAGCCGTGAGCTCCACGAGCATCCGGTTCCTGTGGAACCCCCCGCCTCAGCAGTTTATCAATGGCATCAACCAGGGATACAAGGTACACAGCCACGGCCTCTGGCTGGCTGTCTTGGTGTGTCATGGCCTTGTGGTCAGTGAGGAGGCCACCCAGCCCTCACTGCATCAAGGTACAGTGTGTGTTGACCATGGGGGTCACCTGAAGTCACCAGGGTCTTATCACAAGGTATACTGGCTCAGAAACTCAAATTACTAGTTTTCAAGAGGATGGCTTATACATACCAGAGCAGTTTCTCATGAGCAAAGCTGTCCATTTTTAAATGACCAGCGGGAGACCTGTCTCGGTTGACCCGAGTCAGCATTTGTAGGAACCACTTCTTCCTGGAAGGGAGTTCTCTCAGAGGAACACAGGCCCCGGGTGCAACTGAATGATACTTCCATCAAGTAAGGGTGCTCACTTCTTCCCCTGTCTGCTTTAGGGAGACTTCTGCTTGCAGAACTGAGACCCCCTTGATTCAGGGGACCTCCCTGGACTGAATCATAGGGGAACACATTCCCACCACCCACCTTCCCTTTGTGCTTAGTTACCAGCACATGTAGCCTTCATACATGTACTGGGATGTGACTTCCAAAAGCACAGCCTCTCGTACCTTTAGATCTGCTTCTCCTGGTTGGAGCCATTTCACCTAGACCATAGCCACTAACCTTCTGCGATGGCAGGTAAACTCAGGGGACATCTTTTCTGAAGGGTTCCACGCAGCTGGCCAGAGTACTTGGTATCTCATATTCAGAAAGTATTATTTCCTCAGACACACGTCCATTTTTTTCCCATTTGGATTCAGTTTGCAAAAACACTTGTTTTTCGTGAGGAAGGCAAGCATCACTAGAAATTTGCTTGCCTTTTCTCTACCCGGAGGTATCTACAGGCAGAAGCTATTTTGAAAGAAAATCATATTGATCAGCTGATGATTTTGCCTTCTTGACTCTCCTGTCAAGTCTTATTGGCAAGACTGGAGCGTCCATTCGATGGCTCAGCTGTCAGTCTGATGCATATAAATATGCTTTGTGTCCTGCAGCTTGTCAACTTTCTGCCGTAATTAATCCTGGAAATGTCTGGTGTCAAAGGAATTCAAAGTCGCACTCAGACGTAATGTTGCCAAAACATTAAAACTTCCCATGGAATATGTACATGTACTGTATTTCTTTAAAATCGTCATCAATCTCCTGAAATCCTCTTCAGAAAACTAGTGTGATATAAATTCTAAATAATTAAGATTGCCCCCATTGAATTAAGGGCATATTTTTGAGTCAGAGTAGATGCCTATCTTGAAAAATACTTGTATTTATGTTTCATTGTACTGATTCAGTTGAATAACAGACGGTGTCCTTTTTATACCATACTGTTTGAAAATTATATGTTCTGTAACATGTTCAAGTGAAGAGAAAGTAAAGGTTTGAGGAGTATCTGTTACGAGTTAAAGTAGAAATTTCATTTATATCTACATGTATAAAATATACATAAATATACATATTTGTATTCAATAATCTATGAGATATCTTTTAAACTCAATATTTTTAGTAAGACTATAAATGTAAGATCTATGGAGGTTCTTAATTATGACTCTGCTTTGAAGACATATTAATTGCAAAATAAAATTCTGATGCGGACTTGAAAGTGAAGACATGCAATTAAAAAGGATCTCTTTTCAACCTGTTCCATCCCAGCTCCTAGCATGGCCGGTTGATGTCCCTGAGTCTGTCACAGTCGTCACCATTGCTCCAGACTTCCATGGGGTCCATCATGGGCACATAACCAACTTGAAGAAGTTCACGGCCTACTTCACGTCGGTGCTGTGCTTCACCACCCCCGGGGACGGGCCCCCGAGCGCACCTCAGCTCATATGGACTCACGAGGACAGTGAGTAGCTCTTTGCCACGTAGCTTAGCAGCAGCCCCGTCAGCTGTCTGGGAGGTCTGGGCCCCCGCTGTGTCCAGCACTGGGCGAGAGCAGAGATGGCTCATCAGGAAACTCCACATTCCCAGAATGTTTGCAGTCTGCTCACTGGAAGGAGCTGAGTCACTGGAAAGCTTAGGAACACTGGGCAGAAGGTGGTCCGTGGGGCAGGGAAGGAAGGTGGCTACGGGAAGGCCCCGAGGGCGAGGGCGGGAGTCTCGTCCGGCCATGTGGTCAGCCTTGGGTCTTGCTGGACTTCTCTTTGCCCAGGTTTCACCTGGAATCCACTCACCATCTCCTTGAATCCCCTAGCGCCCCCAGCGTGCTTCCCTGACCTCCCAGGGGCATTTCACCCAAGCCCCTCTCCCCCGGACTGGTCCATTTATACCAGCCGCTCTGCTCTCGGGCCCGCGGGTGCTTCTAGAAAACATTGTCTAATGCCAGTAGCCTGAGAAAATGAGCCCAGATGTGCACAAAGATTTATTTACAGGGAAGTTCATGACAATTATTAGAAATTGAAAATAAAATGAAAACCATCCAAATGTTCCAAAGGGGGATACTTGAAAAAATTACTGAATAACAATATACTAAATATTTTGTAGTTACTAAAAAATATTTTTGAGAGAAAAATGATCGTGATCTAATGTTGTTAAAAAAAAGCATACAAAACAATATGAGATCCAAACTTTATAAAAACACACTTGTATAAAAGGACGTGAGCTGAGAGAAGACCTTGAGTGAAACATGTCACCATTTTGACAGTTATCACCTCTATGTGACATGATTATGGGTAAATTTTACATTTTTCTTCATACTTTCCCATCCATGCATTCTCAATCCTACACCAGCATGTGTGTCCTCAGTAAGGCGAAGGACGCATACAAGCTGTTTGAAAGGTCGCCAGGGCTGCCGCCCTTCTAGCCGCCTCGTCTCCCGTCTTGCTGGGCGTGGGCGTGGCCCGGCCTTCCGGACTTTTCTCTACTTGGTCCTTTGCTCTGCACTGTCCTGCGCCCCACTGCCCTCTCAGCAGAGGTCAAGGCCATCCAGTGAGCTTCCTCATGGCGGTGCCTTTCTCTCTCTCAGCTGCCCTGTGTTCTCACCTTGTTCTCATCTTGTTCAATAAGGGAGTACTACCAACAACTTTCACTCACAAATTCAACATCTTAGAGGATTCCTTGAAAATCGCAAACTACTAAAGCTCAACCAAGATGAAACAGACAACTGAATAGTACTATAACCATTAAGGAAATTGAATTTATGATTAAAATGTTCCCCCAAAAGAAATCTCCAGGTCCAGAGGGCTTCCATTAGGGCTGTTACTTGAGTAGATCTGTGGTTTTAAAGCTCTGTCTGGGGGGTTTGTGATGACGGACTGGAGATAATAGTGAGGGAGTCTGGGAAGAAGGCAAGCATTGCGAGAGCCTACATCCAGGCCATGGAGACAGCAAGAGGGGAGATTCTGGAGACGTGTCACAGAAAATTGGGGGCTCATTAGATTTAGGAGATGGGGAGAAGGAACTCTCCAGGATGACTCCACAGCCTCCGGCTTACGTGGCTGGGTAGATAGTGATGCCAATAACCAAAACATGGAATCAAGTCCAGTGTGAGGAAACTGGGTTAGCTGGGATGCACGCAGTGTGCAGAGCCTGGGGGACTCGGGGTACACGTGGCCGATGGGCAGCAGAGTCTGCGGAAGTCGATGTGGGAGTCCTAGAAATTAGCAATTGTGATCTTATTTTCCAAGGAAAGATTAAGAGATACAACTGAGTCTGTGGTCTAACCACAGACGGAAACACTTGAAAGCAGTTCTGTGTCAGAGCATGTAAGGCGTCCTTAGCAGGTAGAGCCACCTACATGGAATCAGTGGGCGAACTATATGGGGCTTGAGGAAAGGGAGAGGCTCGCGGGGCTCTGGGTTAGCTGAGACACACGCGGTGTGCCGAGCGTGAGCAAGCAGGCTGGTTTGAGAGGAGCTTAGTCTTTCAGGACGGAGGACAGACAGAGGCCAGCAGAGGGCTGGCTCTCCAGAAGGGAACAGGAGTCTTGCTTGAAGGGCACGTTCTCCATTCGCCTGTAGGAAGAGGCAGCCTGATAGGCGAGGTGGGAATGGGGATTCCTGGTGGGAGGAACCTGAGAGCTTGAACTGACACTGAACTCAGAGAGGCGGCAAGGAATCCTAGAAGCATCATCTATCAGGCATCCCCCCGGAGCTCTTCATTACTGGGATTTTCCTCTCATTCATTAGCTGACCCGAGTAAGGGCAACATCTCAGCTCAGACCACCGCCAGGTCCAACTGGATCGGATTTGATTTTTCAGAGGATGTTTATTTAAAATACAAAGTGGCGAGAGAATGTCTTCAAATAAGAGGGAAGAGTCAGGCTGCATCTCTTACTCAAAAAGCCCACTGTTGCCAATTAAACAAACAGACAAAGCTACGGGGAAACATCCCATACAGCTCTGTAGCCAGAAGTGGAACATTAAGGGCAGTTAGAGCACCATTAGTAAGTAAAAAGAGAAACAGGAATTTCTTTCTTGGGAATTCAGAAAAATGGAAGTGATGTCATCTTTTTAGCATTTTCTCAGGGAGGCAGCATTTTTTGATAGCCAGGGAGCCTGTACCCTATTTGGAAAGATAGAGCCGCCTGTTGGAAGCCTGAAGGCGGGCTTGCTCTGGGCTGGGGTGCAGCCTTACAGGGGACGCTGGACGAAGGGCTGGAGAGCAGCGTCCATCGCCGTAGCTGATGGTGCTGCGCTGAGTTCCACACCCAGCGGCCTCTTCCAAATCTCCACAGAAACAAGAACCCAGGTGGGGGTGGGGGTGGGGGTGGGGAGCGGGCGACGCAGTAAAGAGGATGCAGAATATAAATTTTAAGCCTAGATGTAGCCGGCTTTTTCCAGCAGAGCTGGAGGACAGCAAAATCGGGCAGAAATCCAGGAAGCAGAAACACTGAGAATATATAAAAGGAGCAAAAAGCTTTCTTTGCTGCTCCATGGATCGATAGAAGAACAAGTCAGTTCAAAAATCTGTCAGAATGTCTTTCTGGAAACTCAGAATGGGGGAGGATGAGGTGGTCTTGACAGCCATTGTACTTCACCATCCTCCGCCCTCCAAAAGGGAGATTTGTCAGAGCGTCTGAGCTTCTACATGAAAAGCCTTTGAAAGTTCCACCCCGATGAGTGTATTTGCTGAGGCTGTTACCATATCTTTAGAAGGACGAGTTGCATTCAGAGGCTTGTCCTAGAGCCAGCTGAAGACACACAAGGTGCCGAATTCACCTGAAATCTGCCGTCTGAGAGCAGGGCAGATGGTACCCGGAACCGGGGTGAGGCTTGTCTGCGGGAAACCCCTGAACTCTGTCTTTGGAGAGACAACCTACACCCTTGACTTCATGCTCTCCTATTTTAAGGTTTAAAAAATTGCATTTTGTTATTATGATATAGATCTCAGCGTGACATTGCTCAGAAGTCCACCAGGAGAGTCGATGGCACAGCGCTGGCCGGAGGGACCTGGTGTGCCCTGCCTGGCCTGGCCTGTGCTTCGCTGACATGTGCAGAATTGAGTCAAACCCTGCTCTCCTCCCCTCCTACACCTCCCCTCCCCTCCCCTCCCCTCTCTCTCCTCGCCTCTCTCTTCTCCTCCTTTGTCTCTGATTCTGCCTTCAAACCTCACTCTGCTCCTCCCTGACTGTCCCCTACATTCTCCTGGACTGGGCACTGAGCGGGGTAGGCGTGGGGACATGGCAGGGACACAAGCAGAGCAAGTCCGAGTGAAGCAGCCATACCTGCCGGTGAAACGGTGGACGAGGGATGTGCCAGGCGCCACACAAAGCCCGGCATGATGGACGGTGGAGCCCCGTCTCTCTCCCTTCCCCTGTTCCATGTGAAGGCTCCAGCTCCTGGAAAGCATTTCCTTTTCCATCTGTGGAAAATGACCAGCCACCTGTGAGAGTATCACTCTGGCACAGCCACCCGGTCACCTCTTCCCGCTCCCGTCCCCACGCGGGGAGCCGGCCCTGGTGGGCCCTGTTGTAGGAGCAATAGGGGCCGGCCGTGAACCTAGGGGAGCTGGAGCACCCCTGGAAACCGCTGCAGCCCCACCCACGGCCGACGTGCTGTCTGTCCTACTGGCCCTCTGGGACAGGCAGGAGGTCCGCGTGCCAGCCCAGCTCTGTGCTTAGTGGCTGTGTGTCCTCCGGAAGTGGCTTCATTGCTTTGGGCCTGAGATCGCCAGCGGCAAAGCCGGGGAGGGATCAGAGCAGGCCTGTCGCATCCTGCTGGCTCTGAGAAGCCACGGTCCTGGGTCTGTTTCATCCAGGTGTTTTCAAAGTGACAATAAGCTCAGCTCAGAAAGGACTTCATATTCTGATGATATGATAACTGACAGCTAACACCAATCATAGCAGCTAATGCCAGTCAGCGTTTGTGCGGTGCCGGGGACATGCTAACTGCTCTCATGTCTTATGCATTTCATTCCACAATGACCTTGCAGGGTGAGTTCTTATTTCCGCATTTCACAGATGAGCAAACTAAGGCTTAGAGAGTTAAGTAATTGCACAGCCAACAAACCCAGCTGACTGCAGTGTGAAACCACAGTTCTCCCACTCTGCCCTCATGGGTTAGAAGGGCTTCAGTGCAAAGAAACTCCTGGAACATATTTGCTGGAACTTTCTCAGCCTTGCTCTACCCCCACGGAGGCCCTGGGAGAGAGTGGGTGTTTGGAGCCAGGGGTGCTAGATCAGGTGTGCAGGCATCACCCCTGGGCCTGGTGTGGGCCCCCCTGCCCTGGCCTTACCAGGGCCTGTGGCCCCACACAATCCCCACACAACGGCTGCAGTGTGTCCAGGGCCGCTGGGTGCAAGCGATTGCCTTTCAGGGTCCAGCCAGCCTGACTGTGCTGGTCAGATTAGAGCAAGAATGGCGAAGGAGGAGCTGATTATGACTCCCGGCCGCCCGCCTCCAGCTCTCTGCACGCGGGGATGACGCTGAGTACAATAATGTATGTCACCAAAGCCAGGATGGCTTTCACACCTCGAGTTCCCCCGGTTTTTGCTGACATTTCCTACGGATCTGGCCTGGCTCACCACTTCCCTTTTATAGTTAGAACTTTCCACGCAAATCTGACCAAAAGAGAATGGGCTATTGTGTTAACAGATGACTTTCTTGTTAATTGCTAGAACCGGGAGCTGTGGGACATCTGAGTTTCACAGAGATTCTGGACACATCTCTCAAGGTCAGCTGGCAGGAGCCACTGGAGAAAAACGGCATCATTACAGGTAAGTGTCCCTGTCTTCCGGAAAAGAAAAACCAGCTTTGTCCCAACAGGAGGGGATGGATATAGCTTAAAACCAAACTGCCGGCTGAGTGGAGCCATGTCTGCGAACTCTGTGGGACAGCGGGCTATGCGGCCGAGGCTCAGTCCCCAGCCCCAGCCTCCTTTGGGGCCATTTCCCTGCATGGCTGCAGCCTCGGAGTTCAGAGACTCAGCCACCTTGCATTGTCCTAACAGACCTCCGAAGTCTCACTGATCAATGAGAATGGGTCATTTTATGACGTACTCTCTCAAGTGTACGTCATAATTCTCTTAGCGACACTGTAAGGTAAATATTGGTATTATGACCGATTTACAGGTGATGAAACTGAGGCTCAGAGAGGTGAGGTGACCTTTTCTTCATTCAGCAAATTTGCAGGAATGCCTGCTGTGTGCTGGCACGTGGCTAAAATGCTGCCTACCAGGCAGTGACCACACTTACACGCCAGGCTCTTGGACCCTGTCCACCGTGGGCATGGCCAGGGCAGGACGAAGTCTGGGTCTCCTGCCTCCCAATGCCTTGCTCCTTGCCCTCCCAACAGTGCCTTTTGGGGTACTGAGGATGGGGAGAGGCAGCGGGGGCGGGAGAGCCAGCGGGCAGGCCTGCAGGGGTGAGCTGGGCGAACGGTGCGGGGTGCGTGGGGCGAGTGGTGCGGGGGCTGAGCACCTGCTGTGGGCTCCTCTTGCGGTTTCTGGGGAACAGCCAGCCTTTTATAGGGTTCTTAATGGTTTTATTTTATAAAATAGGTTTCTGAAAAAAGCCTTTCAGGTTAAATTTAATTTAAATCTTAGTTTGGAAAAAAAAAGCTCTAGGTCTGATGAAACCAGCACAGGCTTTGGCCTCAGGTGAAGGCAGAGGGACCCTGTGTTTCACTATCGTTGGTGCCCTGGGGGCGTCAGCTCACCTCAGACCCTCCGTTTCTTCACCCGTGGGCATCTAACACCCCTTGTGGGCCTGGGGAGGCTCACTGAGGCCAGAGCAGCTCGGCCACCAGTGGGTATCCTTTTCATTGAAGAAGGATTACATGAAGTGTCAAAGCAGCCACTGACTGTTCGTGGGCTTGGTCACCGGTTCACTGGATGTGTGTCCTATGCAGGCCCTCTCTGGGGACTACGACAGCTCGTGGCATGTCAGGGCTCCCACCCTGCTGTCTACAGTTGTCCCAGAGGCTCCAGGAGGACCCCGCTCCTGACCAAGTCCTTTCCATCCTGCAAGCGAGCCTCTTAGGAGCCTGGCTGCACTGTCCCTCGGGCAGTGATTATGCTGTCCCACAGCCCACAGGAGCCTGTGTCCCCCCGTGTGCCCAATGGTCCATGAAGTCTGCTCATGCAGCCAGGGCACTGAGAAACTGCATGGAGACCAGTAACTGCATGTGTGCCCACCGCCTGGCAGCAGGGTTCAGGGCCCTCCCCCGCCGTGTCCTGGACGCAGCAGCAGTAGCAACCCTGACCGCGTCCCACATGCAGGCCCCTTAGCACTACAGGATCTTGTTTATTTTTGGAGCAACCACACGAGGTGCATCCTATAACCCCAGCTGACACCTTGGGTGGTCGTGTTCCAGGGTCACATGGCCGGCAGGCGATGAGCCAGGACAGAGACCCAGGTGTCCGTGTCCTCTCCCTGCGTGATCAGCTTGCTGGAGCGGGGTTGGAATTGTGCTGCTCACCCCAACCCAGGCGTTTCCTCTCTTCCTGGGTTCCTCTCTTCCTTGGCATCTCCCAAAGTTTCTCAGCGCACCCCAGGTCACAGTCACATTTATTAGGTAGTTAAGTGCAAACAACTCAAGTGTTTATATGCCAACAACTTAATAGTCATTTGAATGAATAATACTCACTGACTGAAAAAAATGTGTATTTCCCCCTGAAAGGACACGGAATGTGTGTTCGTGATGGGGTGTGCCCCACTGGCACTGCCCAGCCTCTCACACAGGGAACCTGGGGACCCACTACCTTACTTTCCTGTTCCGCATTGGCTTTCATGTAGCACTGCTTTCTTATCTCCGAAACCACCGCAAACGCAGCTTCGCAAAGACAGGATGTGTGCACAGGCGTGGGGAACACTCTGCCCCTCAACTTGTGAATGACACGAGCGAGAGGCCAGTGTGTGTCCCGACACAGGCAGGAGCACCCGTTTCTGGGGCCCCTTCCGTGCCCCGGGCACCCCAGTGCACAGCCTGGCCCTGCATTCCTACACACAGGCCAACCCTCCACTTCTCATCTGCAAAGTACTCCCTGTCACCTGAACGCACCCAGAACCCCTTACAGAATGGGTGCTCAGGTCACATCACAAAGGGCGCCTGTGATCTGATGTTGCCTCCAACCTTCACTTTTCAAAAATCAACTTATGAATCTGGTTCTGCCCCCAGAAGCTGATGTTGAAATGCTCACTTTAGATAAGGTTAGAGCTCCGGAGAAGGGAAGAAGCCACTGTCGAAACTGGACACCAAAACCCCGATCCGTGTGCGTCCTGACGCCACTTGATATATAATAGCGTTGCAGATGCTGAGTGTGGGGCGAAAAGGCCCCTGGTACCTGGAGAAAAAGGAGCTCAGCGAAGGGGGGACGAGCCACACAAACAATCTGTTGCCAGGGAAACAAAACCAAACCAACTCAGCAAGAGGCAGGCAACCATGTGGAAGAAAAGGCTTCCTGGCTCCGAGCCCTGGGGGACCAGGGCCATGGGGGACCAGGGCCGCGGGGGACCTGTCGTGTGGCCTGAATGAGCTGCACGATCTCAGAGGTGGACCGCCTGGTGGGAGAGGCAGGTCACTGCCATCTGCCTGCCAGGCCCGTTTCCGAATCTGTCCAGGACCCCTTGGGGGTGGATTGACGCCAAGGGGTTTCCTTTCTAGGGATGCGTGCCAGAGCCCCACCCCATCCTTTCTGAACATACACACTTCATCCCTGTCTGCATCTTAAAGGAAACCCAGGGGTACCGTCCTTTGAATGGAGCCAACATTTCACCGCTAAGCGCAGGTTGCCAATATTTCAATTTATGAGCCTCTGTTCTCAGCAGCCAGTGGGGCTTAGCTCATTTTTGCATTTTATTTAAACAAATGCCTGTAGCTCCCAGCCACAGCCCATTGACTGTGGAACTTGGCCTTCAAAGTTCAGGCTCTTCAGAGCGGGTTGGCCAGCAGCCTGCCCTCTGACCTTGGGCTGGGAGCACAGCTTCAGGCAGATGCTCTGCTGTTTGCTCTCGGAGGCCACGGGGTCACCACTGACTTCTTCTGGCCTCTGACAGCCACACTGTCAACTGTGCCCGGAGTCCGCACAGCTGGGATGGACACCTGCAGGCATCTGGGAAAGGTGTGGGGGGGAAAGGCCGCCCACAGGTGAGACCCAGTGGCTGTTTCCTTGGTCACACTGGGTGTCTCCGCCATCACCTGCCCAGTGACCCCTGCCCTGTGTGACACTCTCCCCGGCACTGGACTCTGCATCCCTACTGACAGGTCAGCACATGGGCCTGGTTGCCAGGGGCGCATTCCAACGGCACCGCAACGGTCTAGTCCCTGCTGGAGGTAGAGGGCTACCAAGTACAGCGAAAGGGAAGTCGTGCCTGTTGGCAGACCTGGCTTCCGAGGGACACTGTCGGGAATGTCCGTGGCAGCAGCGACCGTCCTGCGAAGCCCATATGAATGCCGTAGGCTGTGCTAAAGAGTGTCCCCCACACAGGCCCTTTGCGGCCCAGCCGCCTAGGAAGCCATACATTACCGGCCTTGCTGCCGGCCCAGCTCCATTATAACCGGGGCTGGGAGAGAGGGAGGCGCCGGCAGGGGCGGCCTGTGCCCACCCCAGCAAATTGCCCATTTCGCTCTCACTGTGAATTCCAGCATCTTCCACTCGCTCCCCAACCTGATTTATGAGAGCCGGGATGCAGACAGACAGCTTGTGATTGGATGTACTGCTCTCTTGTAGAGAATTTACTTCAGATCAACAGAAAATTATTTCTGAAGCTCCCTCGCTCGTTATTCCAGGCAGCCGTTCGGAGCAGGTAGGGTGCCGACTGGAGGTGGGGCTCCTGGCTCTGGCGGCTCTGTCCCCGCGCCCCTCACACGCTGCAACCACATGAAACATTCACAGGCCAGAGCTACCGTGCGCTTCCCAAAACACCGACATTGGAGGGACCCTTCCCCAGCACGTGGCTACAGCTCCGTCCACCTGTGCGCGGCCAGCTCATCACACCGTCTTCCGTCACACGGCTGGGCCAGCACACCTCTCTGTGGAGTTTCCTCGTGCCTTGCCAGTGTAGATGAGGCCCTCCGGTCACCGTTTGGCTTTGCTTGTATCCATGACAGTGGACATGCGAGCGACCGCGCCCATCAGCTGAAACGCTGGGAGCCTGTGTTTGGGCTCCAGATGGCCAAGCTGCACAAGACTCTGTGTTCTAGCAAATTCTGATGAAGAACAGCTTTTAAACAAATAAAATTGTCTGACAGACGGTTGTGAGACTAACATCCTTCTCTTTCTGTGTGTTCAGAGGAGACCCTGAATACCAGATTATTTAGATCGATCAGGCAGAGCCCGCCAAGGTCAGGGTGGCTTCCTCGTGCACACCGAGACCTGGGGGGCGCAGAGAGCCTGGCACACCCCGCAAACCCAGCCAGGCTCTCGCAAGTTCACCAGCCTCTCTGTGCCCTGGTTTCCTCCTTTGTAAAATTGGGGCGATGACGGCTCCAACTCCAGAGGGCTGTTGTGAAGACTAAATAATTAATATATGTGAGGGGCGCGGAACCCCACAGGGCCATTGTAAATACTCTCTACACATGTGAAATTATTACTACTCATTCCCCGGAAGGTTTGTCTCTTTTTAAAGTTGGACAATTACCATGTTTCCCAAAAATAAGACCAGGTCTTATATTAATTTTTGCTCCAACAATCTACACTTATTAATATACAAAAATCTATGTTTATTCAAACAGTCATGTCTGGCCGATGATCTTAACTGGGGCTTATGTTTGGGGTAGGGCTTATATTACGAGCGTCCTAAAAAAATCATGCTAGGGCTTATTTTCCGGTTAGGTCTTATTTTCGGGGAAACATGGTAGTTAGTGAAAAGGGAAGAACTGATTGATTTTAGTGCATTGAGAGTGACGGGGGTGGGTGTCAGATTGGGTAGCCAGGAGGACGATATCCTGAGGTCGTCTGAGCCAGGGTGGGTATGGGAGAGGGGCAGCGCTGAGTGGTCAGCCCGCGCGAGACGAGGCCTGGCAGGCAGGCTGGGTCCTGCAGGTGAAGAAGGGGCTAGCAGTCCACAGAGGCCTGGGCGGGGGCCCAGAAGCCGCAGTGGCCCTCAGGCAGTAATTTGGGGGGCTCTGATGAGCACTGAGGCATCCACCTCTCTGCCTGCCTCTGCTCCCTGGGCTGGAAGAGGGCTGAGGGACAGCAGACAGGCAGCGGTTTCTGACATTAATTTTTTTTTTTAATATTGAAGTCCAAGACACTGTCCTCTAAATTCTTGTTTACCTGAAGTACAAGTTTCTAACTATATTTATTGCTTTCATCAGAATGAGAAGGAACTTTAAGACGCCTCCTAGTGCTTCAGCATCCCTGAGCTTATTGACTGGAAAGAAGGAAAAGCAAGCGTTTTCAGTGGTTTCCCTTTGCATTGGGACCCGGGAGCCCTTTCCATCACCAACTCCCTCTTTACAAGACAGGCTTAAGCTTTCTCTAATCACATAAACTCCCCTCTGAGGGGGTTGATTCAGGGGCTGGCTGGGTCTTTTTCCTCTGAGCCCAAATCACGATGGAACCTGAGGTTGAATAAATTGTGATTATGAGGCCCTGCTGGACTGAACAGAGTACAGGGGAAAATCAGATTTCACTAGGAAAACAGGCTCACGGGAGGAGGCCGAGCCAGAGGCGAAGCTCATGTACTCGGGCGAGGAGACACTTTTTAAGGCAGGGCACTCCGCACAGGGAAAGAGTGTTCTATCCGTCATCCCCTAGAGGAAAAGGAGCCGCGTTTCCACAAATTAGTTGCAACCCAGCAGCAAGCTCCTGATTTAGGGTGCTGTCTAATGAAAATATGAGCTTATAAAAATGGAAATCTTGCTGAAATGCATCCATAATTTGACAAGAGAAGGTTAAGTCATGCACAGCAGGTTGGCCATCATCGTTTGTCATTCTTCAATCCATGCACCAGCTCCTGAGGTTACCAGAGTGTCAGACAGGCCTTTGTCCCCCTGCAGCGCGCTCTGTGGCATGGGGACGCTGGGGACGGGCCACCGGGACTAAGTGGTGCCATAGACTTCTCAGGGAGCATACAGGAAGGAGGCGCATCCCGTCGGGGCAGTGGAGTCCCACCCGACGTCAGCGGATCCACAGTTCCAGCCGGGCAGCCAGCCTCTGCCCTCGGCTTTCAGGAGACCCCAGACTAACTCTGTTCTCGCTTTCCAGGCTATCAGATCTCCTGGGAGGTGTACGGGCAGAACAACTCTCGGCTCACACACACTCTCAACAGCACGACGCATGAATATAAAATCCAAGGACTGTCTTCTCTCACCACCTACACCATTGACGTGGCTGCCCTCACTGCGGTGGGGGCCGGCCTGGCGACCTCGTCCACCATCTCATCTGGAGTGCCCCCAGGTCAGTCAGATGGCGCTGCAGCCTCCCTGCTCCGCGTGTCCCTTAGAGATTTCTGACGCTCAGACTTGATTGGCGTTTTTGTGGAGAAGCTGCTGGGGGCCTTTGAAAGAGGGGTGTGAGTTTCCTGCTGTGATGGTTGGGGGGGTGAGTGGATGATGACCCACCGTCAGCCTTGTTTCCCAGTGTCTTCTGATCGCGGCTTAGCCTTCCTTCTGTCTGGCGTGGGTCAGTGGAAATGGGCTACAGGCAGAGAGGGGAGACCTGGGTACCGGTACTGAGGTCCCGCCCTCCAAGGAGACTGTAAATCAGGGACCTCACGGAAGGAAAGTGCAAGAAGGAAAGAGAAGTAGGGAATGTTGATATTAAGAATAGTAATTATTATTATTATTATTATAAACAATATTAAGAATAGTGTCAACATAAGGAATGCCCACAGCTATAGAAAATTTTTCTTAAGAACTTATTTGAGTTTACTTGAGCCAAGCTGATGACAATTGCCAGAAAGCAGGATCTCAAATGCTTCAGACAGTGACAGTTTGCAGTTTCTTTTATGCATTTGAAAGGCGGGAACTAAGGAAGATTCACAGGAAGGTGGGAGACAGCAAGGCAGGGTTTGGATTAGGGATAGTTAACACGTTTATGTGCTCCCTTGAGGGTGGCTATGCCTCTGAGAGGTCTGACAAAGAGGGTCACTGTGGCATTTCAAAGGTGTGTGAACTACATGCTTAGAGACAATGGACAGGGCTGCTTGGGGCCCAGATGAGCCTTTTACTAAAGAAGTTACAGGCCTGGGGCGGGACTCCCCACGGTGACCTGCCAGTGAGGAATCTATGATCAGATCACCCTGTGAGGTGACTTCCCATAGAACCCCTTTTTCGTCCACAGTATAAAGCATAAAACTTTATTCACTCAACAAAACAATGAAAATTTGTATTTGAGATCAGAAAAAACAGTGGGAGAAGGCGGGGGAGGAAGGTACAGAGACTGGGAGAGTCAACATCCAGGTGAGGACAGTGCGCATGCAAAGCCACCTGCTGAGGTGAGTGCGCTGGCTGCTGTGGGCATGGGTGACACCTGCCCTCATGGCCTTCTGAAATGCAGATGATCTTCTTAGAGGGTCAGCACACTCCTTTCAGCTCTGGACAATTGCTACTCCGCATTTTCTCTCCAGTTTTAAGTTTGTGTTGAAAATGAAAGTGCTTCTCCGAGGAATTCATAAATACCTGTAAGAAAATATTGTGGGGCCATCAGTTCAATTTTGTAATTAAAGCAGTAGGTCTCTTGCCATTTAAAAGTTGTCTGTCTGCCTCGTTTCGGCCTTTGAGAAAAGCATGATTGTCTTACTCGTAAGGGCCTGAAAGATCCCCCCGAAGCCAGCGTTTATCCCATAGGGTAGCCCCACATCCAGTTCAGCCTTCATAACCTAATTATTTTCTTGGAAAGGTAATAAGCGTGATCTGAAAAGAAAACAAAACAAATGAAACGTATGCAGTAAAAAAAGAATCCCCTCGGAATAAATGTGCTCACAGCTCAATACCTCTCCTCACAGGTCAGTGAGACAGCCCAGCAGTCCAACAAGTTATGTGTGGTGGTGGGAAGGGGCGTGACCTCACAGGGAACTTTCTAGAAGCCATTATTAGACCCAGCCTGCCAGCCAGGGAGCCTTGAGCCCAGCAAGTCTACTGTCCACCAATAAACCGTTGTCATTGTCCTCTTGCCAGGGCAGTGGTTCCCACTGTCACGTGCATCAGAATCCCTGGGGCTCCTTTAAAACCTGCGTGCCGTGCCCACTCCCCAGGGTCACCTCCTCCCCGGGCTGGGTGAGGCTGGAGGACGTGCCTGTGGAACAAGCCCTCAGGTGCCACGGAGGATGCCGGTCGGGCCAGACCCTGAGGCAATCAGTACTTTTTAAAAAGGCATTTACAAAATATATTTATTCTTTTAAGAAAGAAGTCTTTGGCTTACAGAAAGATTCATTTTATTCTACGTCAATAGCCAGTTCCCAAAGCACATATTTAAAATAGTACTTTAATAACTAGTGGTGGTGGTGGTGGTGATGGCATATTGTTAAATTTGTTAGAAATACCTCACGTAGAGCGACTGAGGGTAATATTGGAGCACACCCAGGGGTGTGAGCAGCTTTTTCCCTGGGTGGTTTGGACACTGACCAACCAGGGCAGGGAACAGGCTAGCTTTTTCTGGAAGGGCCCTGCCCCCAGTGCTCCTGGGACCAGCACGACACGAGCTGCAGAGTGGAACTCAGAGGGGAGGTGGCCCTGGCCACACTGAATGGACCCCTGGTGAAATGGGTTTGCAGAGAGCCGCAAGGCCGATCACAGCCGAGAAAGACTTTTCGTGTCACTCAGAAGTGTCGCAGAACCAGGTGGACTCGCTGTTGCGTCACACGTCAGGTCACCTGGAGCCAGAGATCCTCCCTAAGATGTCCCTGAGAGTTCTAAGTGTTGGCCAGACGCAAAATCGTGTCGGCGACCACTTTGGGGGCTGTATTCTATTTGCGTGCTTGAAGTTGCCTTCCATTAATGACTGAAGGACTATTTTAAAAATCCCGAGAGAGTGGGCCGGCAGAGTGGCACGATGGTTAAGAACTCGCTTGGGATGCCAGAGGGCCCCGGTTCGGATCCCACATATGAGGGCCAGTGACACTGCCCTCTACAGCTAAGATGCTGAACAACAGCTCGACCTGGAGCTGGGCTGCCATGAGTCGCCGGCAACGGCGTAGGCTGCAGCCCCTGCTGCAGTGGGTTGCCATGGGCTACCGTGTGTGGCCAGCAGCCAGCGTGAGCAGCCAGCAGCCGCAGTGAGCAGCCATCCAGAAGCCGGTGACTGATCTGCCTCGCCCGGGAAGAGCGCGATGATGGTGCCAACTTGGGCCAGTGAAGCAACATCCTCCACAACTAGACTGAAGAACAAAACAACAGCAACTTGTCTGTTCCCCTTCCCCCAATTCCCCAGCACTGTTCCTATCCCCCTACTTCCCCAATAAAAATCTTTAAAAAAAAAAAAATCCCGAGAGCTGAGAAATATAAAGAAGCATCACTTGTCCTTCAATTTAAACATTTTCTGCCTCAAATTCATTAAAGTACATGGGAAAAGGACCCTTGAGGTCCTAGAGCCCTGCCTGTGTCAAAGTGGTTTCAGCGTCCCCACGCAAGCCTGGGTTTTCAATGCCCCAAGCAGCGGCGAAACAGGAGGCCACTCCTCGGGAGACGTGCAGCCTGAAAGCCTTTTCTGCCCCTTGCACTGCCTCCCTTTCCTTCATTTTACCCCATTATCTTTCTCTAGAGTGTTGTGCATTGCACACTCATGTAAGAGCTGTCATTTTGAAGTCACAGTCTTTCACTTCTGAGTGGGACAGGCCCTGGCAGGGAGGAGCTTACTGAAGGGTCTCTATGCAACACGAGGCCTAATTCACAGGTAGCTTCTGAGGGCGGGGGCGGAAGCATTCAGAACACAGCCTCCCCCCATGTAGTTGCCAGAGCAACTGAACCCAGTCAGAGTGGGCAAGTCCTGCAGTTTCACCTGAATGTGGTTGTCTTGGAAACCAGACCAGGAAGCCTAAGGCTCAGGAGCCGCCCACCTGCCCATGTCATGCTGCCCAGAGCCTCCAGTGTGGCCGCCCCCATCCCACCTCGGCTGCTTCCCAAGGCCTCACGGCCTCATCCACAGGAGACAAACACTCAATTCTCAGTTTTTTAGGAGCCACTCGTTCATCCTTTCTTCATTCAACAAGTATCTGTCCCACAAGTACCTGCTCTGAATGGAGATGAATAATACACGATCCCCACCTTTAGTGTTTACTCCCGAGGAGGCCACATTACTGTCCCCAAATGCCACTTCACATGGTACAGAGCCTAGCAGGTGGCCCTACTAAGTGTGAATCACGCTGTGACCATCTTCCCAGTGAAGCTATGTCCTCACTTTCATGGTTTTGAAAACAAATATTTTTCAGGGACAAATGCATTTTGAAACTTTTGCTTGCTGACCTGCTGGATGCGTTTTCTCTGCTGTGACAGATGTAAACCTCTGCCTCCCTCTCATTCGTCTCTAGAGCTTCCTGGGGCCCCATCCAATCTGGTCATTTCCAACATCAGCCCCCGTTCAGCCACTCTTCAGTTCCGGCCGGGCTACGACGGGAAGACGTCAATCTCCAGATGGGTCGTTGAGGGACAGGTATGCGTGTCACCGGAGCGGGAGCTGGGGTTTCCTAAGAGCCGTGCTCTGGGACCCGTATTTGAGAGACGTTGGCGGAGCCTTTGCAGTGATCGCTCAGTGGCTGGAGCTGATGGAGGGGTGGATTTCGGGGTAGCTGTGTTTGGAGGATGAGACGCACAGACCGGAGACAACAAGGGTGCTGCGGACAGGATGTGGGAAGAGAAGGGAAGCCGAGATGTTAGACTGGAGTCTCACTGGACGCTGGGAGTGGTAATAAGGGTGAGAATTCCAGTGGGTTCCAAAGAGGTATCCAAATTTGATAGCATAGTCGATTGATTTTTTTTTTAATTCTGTATCACAATCAGCTACCAAACATACTAAGAGGATTAATTGGTACAACTTATCATCTATCGAATGAGTGAATGAATGAATATGCATTCATTCAACAATACTAATAAAGCATGTGTATTTCCAGGTGCTATCCTAGGCATAAAGGATAAAACCGTAAACAAAAACTGGCAAAGTTTCTGCTGTAAAGGAGAAATTTCTCTCTTGGGAGAAGGAAGGTCCAGTTGCTGGGACCGGAACATACGCTTTCTGTTCGAGGGCCAGCAGGGGGGTCCTAAGGCTGGGGAATGGAGGGGAGGGAAGCGTGGTGGGAAATGGGTTTGCCAGGAACCCCAGGACTGATCACACAGTCCTAGAAAGACTTCTCATGTCACTCAGAAGCAATGGAGAGCCACTGGAGGGCTGTGAGTCAGAGATAGGGTGACACAGCCACTGTTCCATGTTTGAATAACAGCAGGAGAAAAGTGCCAAATTATGAGAAGCAGTGAAGTTTCAAAGTAGTGGTTTTCATGACTGTAGTCATACTCTATTGTAAGACGATTCACTCTTGGAAATTAGCCAGAAGTTAAGGAACAAATCCCATATACATATTCAAAGTTCTCATTAAGCAACCATTTCTGGAAACCTATGCAAGATTCTAAAAGTACGAACCAACTAGTTGGAACTGATCAATAAATGGGGCTGGAACAATTATTAACTTAGAAAAAATAACAGCATTTCCTTACCTCCCGTCTAACTCAACAAATAAATCCCCAGTGAATGAAAACCAAAATTATAAAAGCGAACTTTAAAATGCGTAGAAGAAACTAAAGCAGTCCCCACTTGCCCACGGTTTTGATTTCTGCGGTTTCTATTACCCCGCCATCAACTGCAGTCCAAAAACATTAAATGGAGAGTTTCAGAAATGAGCAATTCCTAAGTTTTAAATTATTCACCATTCTGAGTAACATGATGAAATTTCCCACAATCCTGCTCTGTGCTGCCCAAGACGTGAATCATCCCGTGTCCACCGTCTCCACGCTGTAGACACTCCCACCTGTTAGTCACTTAGTCCTCGTCAGTTATCAGATCTGCTGTCCCTGATCTCACAGGGCTTGTGCTCAAGTCACCCTGATTTCGTTCATAATGGCCCCAGAGCCATTCACATAACTCTCATTACAGGGCGTGGTTACACCGATCCTATTTTGTTGTTAGTTATTGTTACTCTCTCACTGTGCCTAGTTTATAAATTAAACTTTATCACAGGTGTGCACGTGTGGGGAAACACACAGTATATATAGGGTTTGGTGCCACCCATGGTTTCAGGCATCCGCTGGGGGTCTTGGAATGTCTCCCCCCAAGGATAAGGGGGACCACTAAATAGGAGAAAAATGGTGATGTCTCATGAAGATCAATTCTAGCATCTTCAAGTCCGTCAGAAGTAGCTGGGTGAGCACTTTAAGGGGCACAGGAGCATGTGGGTGCCCCGGTGTCATGGGGCCACCTCATGGCTGAGCACAGCGAGTGCCAAGGATGCTGCGCCGGATTTAGACTTGGGTGTCAGGTGGGGCCAGGCCGTGGTGACATAGAAACACCAGTGCTTTGATGGCTTACCACCAAGAGCTTTATTCTTTGCTTCCAGAGCCAGGCACGATCACACCACCTGTGCCGTGTTCCGTCCAAGGGAGCCTGGGAAGCGTCGTTTCGTTTGCCCAAGAAGGGAATGATGTTGTGAACTCAAGCACATTCTCTGCCCCCGAGTGTTTGCTTTATGCTTCTGCCCCATAACCTATTTACTTATATTTTAAATATAATTTTTAACATACCCAAGAGGAAAGAAAATATTGTAATGAGCTCCCGATGCCCGTGACCTAGTTCGTCTATTATCTAGATTTATCTCTCTCCCTTTGTAGTGTTCCTGGAGAGTTTTAAAGCATATCTCAGACCCCACGCAATTTTACCACCGAATATTCAGCTTGTATCTCAAAATGCATGTACACACAACCATATGGACGAGTTTCACAAACATGATAAGCAAAGGCAACCAGGCTCGTAATTTGAGGGCACACCATAGGATTCCACTTCGGTGCCGTTCCGGAAGGAAAATCAACCCCTGGCCTTCGAGCACTGGGTCCCGGGCGTCTTGTGGTTCCCAGTGCGGGAGAGGGTGCCTGGCAGGCTCGGAAGGCTGTTTCCTGGTCTGGATCTGTGTTGTCACCTGTGGTCTGTGCACTTGTTCCTATGCCTCCCACCCATATAAACTGGATGTTATGATAGGGATACTTTCTATCATAATTGTAATACCATCATCGCACCTAATTAATAAAAATTCCTTAGCATCATCTAAAATTAGACCACATTCAGATTTTCCCAAATTTTCCAAAAACATCTTTGTACTATGGTTTTAAAGACAACAGGACCCACACAAAGTTCATATTATACATTTGGTTGTCATGTGTCCTAAATCGTTTAAAATTTTTTAAACAGCTTTATCAAGGTATAACTGACATACAATGCACTTTATGTGTTTAGTGTCCACTGTGAGAAGCTTTGACTTGGGTGTAAAGTCTGCATGCCTGTGAGAACCCTCCCCACAGGCCAGATAAGGCCCACACCCATCACACCTGTCTCTGGGTCATGACTCCTCCCCGGGGCCCCCCCTCAGCCCTGCCCACCCATCAGCCTTCTGTCACTGTAGAGTAAGTCTCTTTTCACCTAGACCCTGCTCTGTCCCCATGTCACTGTCTCTCGGTTGTCCCTTGTAATGTCCTGCATTGCAGAGGTCGCCTGGACTCCTTGTTCCTCTGTTCCATGTCTCCTGTAAACTGGAAGTCCATCCCAGAACCTGACCGGATGTTTCCACCTTGTCGTGTCATCCTAGAGCGCGCTTTCTGGCGGTGCTGTGCCCCTTCAGACTGCAGCAGTGAGAGCACACCTGTGTCTAGTTGTCCCACTTTTGGGGACACCAAGACCAAACCACAGCCTGATCCCTGCCTGGTCGCTTCCTCCATCAGCTTTGTAGCTAAGGGCCTGAATTATTTTCTTAAGATATTCAAAATGGTGCTTTTCTCTCAGTCTTTCCTCATTTCCCCGCATCCCTCAGGCTAGTTAGTTACCCTGAGCACAGGGAGGCAGGATAGGTGCTGAGCCTTCTCCCTTTAATTCCCAGCTTCGGAGCGTGGAACTGGTCGCCCGGTTACACCCCGTGTTAAACAGATTTCTCTTGCTCTTTTTTTTGCTCTGTCTCTTCCTGAGTACCATTATGAAAGCATAGATTTTTATACGTTCAGTGACTTTCAGTCTCTGCAGCCATGATTCTTTTTGAGCCTAAAGCTGACCCATCTTGGCCCGTGGGCAGCCTTTCACATTCCAGGCCTTTCGACATGCGCTTCCTAACCTTTGATGATTTCCTTGCAACACCATGTCCTAGGGTCATCTCGTGCCTTCCTGCCCTAAGCACAAAGGGATCCACTCCTGCGGGGTGGGGGGCTGGTTCCCATTAGTGTCAAATAACTTTTAAGGACCACAGTCTGGGCACCAAGGGTTGGGGGAGGGATGCTCGTTGCTACTGGCTGGTCATTGTTTCTAGACCTTTCCAGTGGGCACAGGAGAAATGCCCATTTCTTTGAAACATCATGAGTTCATACTGATATTTCCAATTCAAATTTAAGATTACTTCACTTTGAATTTATGTTTTAAGTACCCTTTCCCTTGCATTAAATTGTGTTTTTAGCAATATTAACATAATTACTTATTATCTTTATCCTATTATTGTATATAGTTTCAAAATTGGAATCTCAGTGGTACTACTAACAATAAGACTACTGAATGCAATTTAAGGATTTACCCTTAGACTGTGTTCCACTGCGGATGGACAGTCAAAATACTGAATTCGAAAGTCTTAAAATTCCTTTCTCTGTGTGCTATATCACCAACTTAATACAAATTAGATTCACTCACTTCAGGGTTTTTGTTTTGTTCTTTTGCTTCAATCTTTAGTGGTTGCTTTCTTTAAAAATCATTTTACTTTTTTTTTTTAAGATTTTTTTTTGGGGGGGGGAATTGGGGGATGGGAACAGTGCTGGGGAATTGGGGGAATGGGAACAGACAAGTTGCTGTCGTTTTGTTCTTCAGTCTAGTTGTGGAGGACGTTGCTTCACTGGCCCAAGTTGGTACCATCATTGCGCTCTTCCCGGGCGAGGCAGATCAGTCACCGGCTTCTGGATGGCCGCTCACGGTGGCTGCTGGCCGCTCACGCTGGCTGCGGGCTACATACGGTAGCCCATGGCAACCCACTGCAGCAGGGGCTGCAGCCTAAGCCATCACCAGCGACTCCCGGCAGCCCAGCTCCAGGTTGAGCTGTTGTTCAGCATCCTAGCTATGGAGGGCAGTGTCACTGGCCCTCATATGTGGGATCCGAACCGGGGCCCTCTGGTATCCCAAGCCAGCTCTTAACCATCATGCCACTCGGCCGGCCCCATTTTACTTTTTAACAAATGTTAAAACATGTTCAATGTAGTTTATTTTTGAACATATAACTTACTCACGTGGTCTTAAAGTCAAAACTATAAAAAGTGTATTCCAAGAAGTTCACACTTGCCGTTCTCTCTCTGCCCTGTGGCCTCTCTCCTCCAAAAGCCCATTTTAGGTCTTGGGTTTATCCTTCCTTGGCTCTTGCATAAGCAGCTACA